CTACATAGCTTTTCTTCTCTGTCCCTCTTTCTTTAAGGCATAGGTGCTTGGGTTCAAAGACAGATTCATTGTGATATTAGGCTGAACCTAGCTCATGCCCTGATTCTGGTCCAGGTTGGGTTGCCTTGCAGTGATTCAAGAAATGAAAACAGGCTTTCATCATACTGTCACGTGACAGATATGTATACACCAAGCCATCCAAGATTGCGTTCTTGCATATCTGCTATGTGTTATTCAAACACACTGATTTACATCTAGATCCACTCAAGCTTCCAAATGCAATAAAGAACAACAGGCAAACCACTAATTCCTCCTATCACCACTCTCCTCTGGAGTAACAGCTGAAGGGATAGACCTATTTGAGACTTACTCTCAAAACTTGAGAAGCTAATCTGATTCAGGATTTCATAGTGAATGTGAATCTCTGATTTTTAGGATCTCAGATTAGAATATCCATGAAGGTTCCAAAGAAAAATAGAGAAAAGGTGACTCTGACTTCCTTGTGTGTATTGATTTCACCAGAGCTGAAAATGACAGTAGAAATAAAGATGTGAAACCAGGCAGTCTAGATCCAAACAGTGCAGGAGCCTCTCTGCAGAAAAGCCTTCAGTTTAGTTTTAGCAAAGAGCATCCTTCTGTGTTTTCTATGTGAGACATCTGGTTTGCGTGCTGTAGAAGTACCCTGGTGTCACACCCAACACCAGCATCAAAGGAGCAATGGGGGGAAAAGGTACCTAGGATTGTGCAGAAGCTGTCACAGGAGCACACAGGTCTGAGCAACAGGCAACAGCTGTGCTGTTCGTTGTGTTGTTGACTCAGGAGGTTGCCAAAGGCTGCGAAGTGATAAGGAGGACAAAGTCCACACCTGTTCTCTCAGTACAAACACCCTTATCTCTGTTCCCCTGCAGCCTCTCTCCCAGTGGCTGGGTAGTCCAAGGAGCAAGCTCTGCTGCAGTTAAAGTGTGACAGAAGCAGTGTCAGCTACAGCTTTCTGAAGAACCTGCTTTCTTAAAATAGGAACGTTTGTTTCCCTTTTACAATGGGATGCTTGCTGTAGAGGCTTCTGTTTTCTACCTTCTTCCCTTAACCACCTTTGTCTTTCAAAAGCCTCAGATTGGGTTGCACTTAAGAAAGCTTTTCTTTCCGGACTGTATTTTTTTCTTCTGCTGTCCATGCCAAGGACCAGTCTCCTCCCTTTGCATTTGTGATAGTCTAGCCAGCACCTGCACCTTGAATTAATTATACAGGTCCCTATACAGAGGAGAAAAGGCTCCCACTTGGAACCTCTGGTCTCTTATATTTGAGTTCTGGCTCAGATGGGAAGAGGAAGGACTGTGTTACCACTGATGGAAACCTGTTACATGTTGATTTCCTTCCTGCACCCCAATCATAAGTCACTTTTGTCTCCTCTGTCAATATCCTTGCTTCTTTGTGGTAGGAAGAGAGCAGGAAGTATCTGAGTCTCTTCTGTGTTTTTTCTGTCTTTTTTTGAGGCAAAGCAGTGCAAAGGAATTTTAGTGAGGTGTGAATTCCCTGGGCAGTTGTATGAAATCCTGCCTACTCTGTACATTGTCAGAGCACAGGCTGTAATATCAATGCAGCAATTCCTTTGGGCCCAAGGCTACATCACAGAACAAGTGATGGTAGTTGGTCAGCTGAACCCTCACATGAACTGTTGCCCAAATACATAGTTCACCTGCAGAACCTTCACCGTTGACTAAGACATCATAAGTCGAAACCTTCACTCTTTCACTGGTGGTGAGACTGTCATTGACTGTCAGAGGGTAGGTTTTCACCCTAAACCTAGTTCTCTTAGTTGTAGTTGCAGTAAAATCTCAATTGCTTCAGTGAGTCAGAGCTGCAGAAATGGGTCTGCTTTACTCAAGCTCTCCTCCTCTATCACCAACTCTGTTTTCTGCTTTTAGCTTCCTTTTCTCTCCAGATGCAAGCTGTCTCACCATTTGTCTCTTCTTCAAGGTATAATCTGTCTCCAAATTCTTCTCACATAGTTTTTACTTCCTTCTTCCTAAGTCTTGCTCTCCTGCTGTCAGTTGCTTCTTGCCCTCTGAGCATGGCCCTTCTCCCTGACTTATCTCAACCACAGGGGCTTGGGTCCTCTCTCCATGCCAGCTTCCCATTTTCTTAGTTCTGAGGTCACTTTTTAAGGGCGTTTTCACCTCCCTTTTGTTACCTGAACAATAAGTAACCCAGGTAGTTAGTTATAAACTCAAAGGGAACAAGAGGCTGGTTGATAATTTATAGCAACATCTCAAATTTAAATGGAAAGTAAATATCAAGTTGTTAGCATTAAAGAAAACCCATTCCAGAGAGCTGGAGATGTAACATTCAGGGGACCTTCTGCCTCCTTCACTCTTCCTGACTTTTCTCTTTCTTTTTCCTTTGTTCATTCCTTTCCCCTCCTTTTCCTCATTCTCTCTGTCTCTCATTTCCTTCTTTCCTGTTCTCAGATTCTCAGGCAAGAGAAACCTTGATTTCCTTGAGGTGGGTCCTGAACTGCTGCTTTGGACCAGACCTTGCTTAAACAGAGGTTCAGAGTTGTGAAGTACTCAGGACCATCCTCTGGCCCGTTCCTCTGGAGCCTGCTAGACAACCCTCACTGATGTCAGTGCACAGCCTGGAGCCGGGCTAGGCAGAGAGCAGGGAAGGTAAGACCATCCCGGCAGCGTTCCTTTCTATTGAACTTGGCCTGGTTTGCCTCATCTTGGTTTATATGTGGAAATGAAAGGGGTGTGGCAGTTTCATCTCCAGATTCCCCAGCTAGAGCCATTCTAAAACACCATTTGCATGGGGAAAAGTCTAAACCTTTACATCTTTGTTTCCTTTTTTCTGCATGGACAACATGCTTTTATCCCTGCCTCCAGGGGAAATCTGTTGCTTATCTCAATTTCTCGCTGTCCTAATGGAATTTCACCCCTTGCCCTACAGGTGAATCGTTGCTATACTTCTCTCCACTTGCTGTACCTGTGGCAGTGTGATCTGTCCCTTTTCCCGAGGTAGCCTCTCTTGCATTCTGCTCTGGAGAATATCTGGGAATTACTGCACGTAGGTCCATCTCCCTAGTGAGTTATTCTTTATTATAGATGCAATTCATTCTCTGTGTGGAGTGATCTGGAAGGAATGTTATTCAAACTCTAAATCTATGGAAGATCCGTGAGATTGAGGGACAAAATGAAACTGTTAATTCCTCATTACAAGAAACCTTTGAACTGTCTTTATAATTTTTTTTTTCTGTAGAGACAAAATCTAATCAATACCCACAGGTGCACCCAGCCGTGTGGGTGTACCTTCTCTACAGCCTGTTTTACTCAGCTTTGGCTAGTGTTTTCTAAACTCTTTTCAACTTTAGTGGACCTATGAGGACATACTTGGTTTCTTGGTGCTGTCTTTTTTTTCTTTTCCAGCTCCTAGAAAGCCTAGCAACGGACACTCTCCTGCTACTACTTCATAAAGAGTGGCTGCAGTTACCACAAAGACTTTTTTATATCACTAATAGCTGCCCACAAGTCAATCTCTCTGTTTAAATGTGGTCTTACAGTATTAGACCAGGAATTGTTAATAATATCCAAAGAGGCTTTTGTCTAAAGGCAGAAATGCCTCCATCTGGTTCCTGGGTTTGAAATCCTTGTGTAGATGCTGAAATAGCTTTGCAAACGTTGAAGTTTTACTGGGAATCCCTGGGCATGGAGATCAGGTCTTGCCTGCCTGCCTTTTATCTGTCACTGGGAGTAATTTCTATTATAGACTGTTCTGCCCTGTCTTACAATACTTAGAGTACTATTTTAAGGACATTACCTGTAGGCATCTATTAATGGAAAGTTGTGTTCTTAAAAGCAGAAAAAGTTTATTAGTAGGTACCAACTGCTTACGTATTATCAAACCCTGATACTGGTTCAGATGCTTTGAATAGATTCTCAGACATACAGTTGCTTTTTTTTAAAAATCTTTGACCAGAAATTTGAAACATGTCAGTACAGACTTTCCTACTATTTTCATTTTGCCTTGACTAATCTTGATCTATTTATATTCCTCCATAAGTACACTTGTAATTTTTTGCTGAAACTGAGGCTTCTAGTCCCCTTCATATTGTCCTGAACAGCAGAAGTGAATTGTTCTGTCCTGTGATACGGGGGACTGGTGAAAGAAAACTCTAGTGAGTTTTCCAATTAAGATCCAGTGAAAGGCTTAGGAGATCCTGGTTTTTGCCCAGTTTCCGTTCATAAAATGGGAATGCTGCTCAACTGACTGTCTAGAGAGAGATGTGAGACTCTTCATCAGAAAGCATTAATATCACAAGTTTGCAAGAGAGGTAAGACTGTTGTGCTGAGAAGCTGGTAGTAAGCACGGGAAAGACTGGCAGCAAGTTCCTAGAAAGGCAGGGAGGATCAGAAACCAGAATTCGTGCTGAAGTTAGAGTGGCAGGAAAGCATTCCCTCCATCTGTGTGTTCCTAGATCACAGCAGATGGCACCTTAGTCCTGCTTCACCCATTCATTAGAGAAAATGGGACCAAGCCAGGTGCTCTTCTTCAACTTTCATGGCTTCCTTTGTGGAGAGATACCTGATAAACCATTAGAAGTTAATGATCAAAAAGCTTATCAGGGTCTTTTCATCTATAAATTTATAAGACAAAAGAGAAATAATAAAGCCATTGGATAATTAGTAACTAGCCAGGGCCCGCCCGGTGCCACTGGGCTCAAACTACCCCAAGACCTGTACGCAGACTCAGGAAGATGAGAAGGAGACAAGGATGAGGGGAAGAAAAAGAGTGGAAGGGGGAGAGAGAATTGGTCAAGAAGACAACAAAATGGGAGGAACAGCAGCAGAGACAAAAGTGAGGAGAGAAAGGAAATACATAAAACGAATGAGAAAGAGGTAAAGGGAACAGAGGAGACTAAAAGATGTGACAGAGCTGGAAGTGAGGACGAGATGAGACGTACTGAGCTAGAAAGAAGACTGAGTTATTGGGAACATTTTCCCCACCCAGGTAAGAGCTGATCCAGTGAATTTTCCTCTGTTGGGTACTGCAGAGTCTTCAACTCTCAATCTGCCAGGGAGCTTTCTTCTAAGTATTTATGGTGAATGCTAACTCTTGTCATGCTGTTTTTCTAGCTCTGGCCTTTTCTGGTGGGATTCGATGTTTGCTTCTTGTTAACATTTTATGTCAATTTCCTTTGCATGTGAAAGGGAGCGAACAGAAAGTCTGAGAAATTTTCTAGATGGATTTTAGTTTTAGTGAAGATTTTAAGTGCAGGATATTGCTGCATCTTTTTGTTGTCTATCAGCTCGTCGTTTCAAAATACCCCCAAAACAGGCGGGCAAGATTCTGCTTCTGTTGTGATACATAGGTTGGATAGACCTGATCCTTGCTTGGACAAACCTCTTAGGTTGCCCACAGGAATTGTATCCCAGCAAGAATCCCAAATTGGAATTCTGCTGAATGTTTCTCTGAGTCTGTAATGAGGCTTATTGGTTTGGAAAACTCTTTGTGTCTTTTGATTTCAAAAACGCGTGTGTGCAAAGGCAAATTTGTGTGGCAGTGAAACCTGTAATTGTTGCTGCGTATGTACTTTGCAGTTGTGACAGGCAGTGGAGGGTAGAATAGCGTGTTCTGCCCGGGTTTCAACCTCTGCATGTATTTGGAGTGTGCCCTGTCTGCAAGAAAAATCCCCACTGAAGTCAGGAGAACTTTGCACTCACAAGAATGACAAGAACAAGTTCTCTTGGTTTGTCTTTGACCAATAATCTATAGCAAAGCCCAGTAAAATTAACAGTATTAATCTCCTTAAATGTAGCAGGGAAACATTACAATTCCACTTTACTGTACATCCTCAGGCAAATATAGCACCAGTTGAGAGTGACCAGATTTTTTCTTTATTTTTTTCCTCCCCTGATGACTGAAATTGTGAATCTTATTAAGAATTTAAATCCAACATTCAGTCAGAGAGATGCAAGTTATCCAGGCCTCGGACTGTTCTGAAGCCTGATGATATAAGCACTTCAAATACGTAATCAGGCTTCATAGCTCCCTTTATGCCTTTTATGTGAGATGAAAGGAAAGTTTGAGCGTTTATAAAGAATTTGGGAAGTGTTTTGAGGCTGCTAGTCCTGGTGTGGATGAAGACTGTCTCCGTGCAGCTGGATCAACTGTGAATACCAGGGACATTGAGCGGAAGGGGAAAGGAAAAGAGATTTAGAGGGAAGACCGCAAGAAAGCAGTAAAGAGGAGCAGCAAATCTGTCCTTACTGTAATAGTCTTTCCACCACAGCCTTCTGGTGAGCAGCCTCCTCGGGGCTCAAGTTTTCCAGCTCCTTCATTATTGGAGGGGTGAATTCCTCCCCATCATCAGAGGTTTCATCTTCCGATAACCTGGACTCCCCCATTCCGTTGGAGAGGTTGGGGATGTCAGGACAGGGTTCCCCTTTCTCCGTCTGGAGGGCATTGATAGCGCGCTGACTTTCGCTCTGGAGCGCGTAGGGTTCCCCTTCGCTCAGCGCCTTGATCAGGGTCTCCTTGGTTAGCCCCGACTCCAGCAGCGCTCCCAGCAGCTCCACTTGAAGATGACTCAGCTTCGAGACCATGGTCTTCAGGCTGGCGTCTCTTGGATTTGAATTTCAGGTTATCCTGCTTCCAGCGTCCCTACACCATGTTCCTGAGGTAACACGCTCGACAGTCAGGAGAGTGGGCGCAGCACAGCCTCCCGCCTTTACGCCCCCCCAAAAAAAACAAAATACAAAATTGAGCCACTTCAGACCCCCCACGACTGTCCTGAGCCAGTGCTGATAAAGGGACCCTTGGCTATCTGTTTACATTGGAGCAATGTAAATTCTCCAAGGTTCATACTTATCTGTGTGCTTAGCAAGTTACTGAACTTTGGACTTCAGCACTGCAGCAGCAGTTCACAAAGTGCAGATGGAGAGAAAGCAGGGGGAGGGGGAAAGGGAGGGAAGCCGAAGAGAGAAGGAGAGTAACATGAAGGGATAGAATGTCTGCAGCATGGAAAGGAAAAGTAAGCTATGGAAAGAAAACTGGGAAAATCAGGATGGAGAAACGTGGTTTATTTCTGGCCCCATTAGTTTTAGAGAAGGCAGGAGGAGGAGTGTGTAAATGGAAGAGGTGTGTTCGGCTCTGCGCGGTTCAGGAGAAGGTGCTGCTGTGGGAAGAGCACAGAGCCCACTCGGAGCTCTGGCAGTGGTGAGGTTCAGCCAGTCTCAGCCCCTGCCGAAGTCTCTAGGCTGAGGGGAAGCCACGCTGGCAGCTTCACTAGCCTTTGTGCAACCCCCCAGCAGAGAAGTGCGACCACTGCGTTTGTGTGAATATTCCCAGGACTCATAGGATGTTCTGGAGCTCCATCTGACTTCTGTGGCAGAGCATCAAGTGTTAAATGACTTTTTCACTCTGGCTTTGGCTTGCTGGGTATCTTGATATGCAAATGCTAGTACCTCTATTAGAACTTGGTATGTTTATTGCTTAATTGATGAGCAGGAGCAGAGTACCCACATAATTGGGGGATTACAGGGCTTGCCCCACTCAGCTTGTGGTTCAAGCATACAATAAAGAATAGCCCTGGGTGTTGGTTCATGCTGAAAGTCCCTGCCTCATCATCAGTTGTGCTGCATCTTCGGAGAAGCGTTCTGAGCAGGCTTGTGGTTACTATCTACCTCCAGCCCTTCTTGATACCAGTCCTGCTCTAAGGTTCTGCTCCCACCTGTTGGGTGACTTCCTAAAACATGCTCGCTAGCTCAGCTGGAGTCACTGAGTGCAGTTTTTAGGGAGTCCTTGGGACTATATTGTCTTTTCTGGTTTGAAGATACGTGAATGAATTCACCTACTTTGGCTAAATTGGGAAATGACTTGATGCATAACCATCTCACGCAAATGATTCCTTCTGAGATCAACAGGAGAAGGATTTAAACCTATTCTCAATGGAAGTTTCCCAGGGACAGCTACTTGTCTCTCTTTCTATACTCCTATCAAGCCTAAGCTAAAAGGAGCCTAGCAGGACTGTCCCCAGACTGAGTAATCTCCCAAGACAATGCTGCAGACTGACCTTGGCCCGTTTTCCCTTTGTGGGCACCATTAGCCACACTCCAGGCCCCTGCAACAACATGCTAAGTCAGCAGCTGAAGGACAGAGCTCCTTTGCAGATGGGACCCCCTCCTCCCTCCCGGCACAGCAAGCTGTGGTGGGGCTGCTGGGCTGACCCTTTCCACCAGGACTGTTGTTAACTCTTAGCTTTTGTTTCAGATGCCGACTGCATCCAGAGTACCAGGTCCCCTCACTGCAGTGAGTTAAAAAAAGCTCAGATGGATACGGAAGACTCTGTGTGTGGCTAAAAAGAAGTAACAATTTGGAGTCCGTGTAAAAACATTTAATGTAAGAAATTTTCATGTGAACATTAGTGTAAAAAGACATCTTTAGTTTTTAAAGGATTTTTCCCATTCTCTTAATAAAGAGTATTTAAGGAATGGGGAGCTTTTTGTGCGTTGTTCTATCAATGTTTTGATACAATTTCCATGCATTTTATTTTTTTATTACTGTTTTCCTAATTTCTCACCCCCCCAGGTAGACATGTCAACAACACTGGCTGATAACAGTAATTGTCAATTGTAATTACAATATCTGACGACGACATATAGTTTCTGCATGATATGTCCTTATAATTCAAGGACTTTGCAAAGAGACAACAGATTGTGGGCCTGCTGCAATATGTGACGGAGAAGATTCTGTCATCCTGTGTTACTTATTTCTGTCTGTCTTTGGCATTGTGTTTTCTTTTACCTAAACTAAGACAGAAATTATTACCACTGTTCTTGTTTAAAAGATTGTCCAATCTATGTGCTGTAAGTGTATATACCTGTTGATTGCTTGAGATGGGATAGGGTAGGGTCGCAGATCATTGAGTTTAGACAAAGAACAGCAATATTTGTCAAGGGAAGCTGTAAAGAGAAGAAAACATAGCAACAAATTATCTGTCTATATTGTGTGGTTTCAAGGATTCCTTGTGCACCCAGAAGTCCTGTTGTTGTTGCTTCTGCTTGCCTTGAAGACCTTCAGGTGCAGAGACTTTTAAAACAGCCTGTCTTGAAACCAGTGAACTTTGAAGTCTATAAAAACAGAAATGAACATCTGTTTGTACGTTAGGACCTCACTGAATGCTACAACTGGATGCCACATGGAGAATCCTTAGCTGATTATGGAAACCTTTCAAATACTGAAGAGGAGGTAAATATTCTCTATCACTTTATCCTGAAGGGCTTTTTCTCTTGATCTGTTAGAATTGTCCATTTTAAACTGTAGAAGCCAGGGCAATTAACAAAACAAGAAATCAATTTCTACGCTGTCAGCTTTACATTCACTGTAACCTGCCAGACTGCTAGTGAATGGTTCAGCACTCCATGAAGTATTTCAGAGTCTTCAGTGCAGGAAAACCAGCAAGCTTTTAAATTGCTAGCAGTCAGACTGAACGTTTGGGAAGCAGCGAGGAGAGTCCTGCTGCAAATTAGCCAGCACTCCTGTTTTATCCTCTGGCACTAAGGATTGCAATATCATATTTCTCAAATTGTTACAAGTGCCACAATATGCAGTTGTGAGGTAAAAAGAATAGCAGAGGTCAAGGGTGGAAGCTGCAAAGATTAACCAGCTAGATTATAGTTCTAGTAGTAGAGCAAGAGTTAAACTGTAGAGTGCCATAATCAGACAACACTCTCCTGTAACTGAATTGTACTCGGGGATTTTGCCTTGAGGATGAATATTTGAAAGAAAAGGTCTTGGTTTTGCCATGCCCATTTTCATCTATTACCAGTGCTCAGTATATGTTGATTTCCTCAATTGCAGCAATTTGCCAGGCCATGACTTGATTCTCAAGTCACCCTGACTAATGGGATCTTGGTAATTGTGATAGCGGAAACTTGTGAAGTTGGAAGACACCGAGTGATACCTGCTTGTTTTTCTCATGTTTGCAGTATCTGTTTCTGTATTTCTTTTTTCCTGCAGAATTGCATGTTTTTCCGTAGGCGTAACTAATACGGTGGTTGAGACCCCTCAAATTCAGTGCTTCATTGACAAGACATAAGCAGCTTTACAATATTAAATTTGTCAGCGTAATAGCAGGCTCAGGAACAATGTTACATTAACAAATCAGTTCGGATGCAGATTGGAGAAATATCTCAATTAGTAATCGCAAGAATTCTAATTTCTATTTTAATGGCAAATTTAATAAAGATTATTTAAACATGTTCAATTACTTTGCATTATCCTATGTACACTTAAATACAACTGCTATGCTTTTTTAAAAAAATATTTTCTTCTTTTCCTCTGAAGTAGCAGACAGTCTGATAACGCTGTATGACAGCTATCTCGTAAAACGGTGTTCCTGTCATTCTCCAATATCCTTCCAGGCAAGGATGTGTTAGGTTCCTCTAATGGAATTTTATTTTATTGGTAAATAATAGTCTGTCTTGATTAACTGTCCTCATGTAATCCCTTCTCCCCTACATGTAATAAAGTAATTGAACTACTAATGAAGTAGATTATTTAACACTGAGAATGACTGCATGAAAGTATAAATGGGTATACAATAGGAACGTTATTCTTACTTTAGGTTTATTGGTATGTATTTTGCTTATTTCACTAGGGCAAAGGCAAAGTAATGGATGGCAGAGTCCTGGGAACAGAATGGAAGGCAGAGCAGGCTCCCAAAGCCTGACTTCTTGTATCAACACCACTTTTGCCTTCGATGTTTTCATTTCATGAATTATATCTATTATTAAGTGTACATGATGAAAAATAATTTGCTGGGATAAAGCCAATGTAATATGGCTTCAAGACACATACAGAGAAGGTAAAAAACCTAAATATGATAAAACTGCTAGCAGAGGGAGTCTGTATAGTTCCATGAATACAGTGGTAAAATTGTCATTGGCAAAAGAAACGCAGAAATAGTTCTTTTAATAATTCTTCACCGTTTTACTGTTGTT